CACACACACACACACACACGCGCGCGCCCGCCTCCCCATGACTGCCCCCGGCCCCTGTGGCTGTCCTGCTTTTTGAAGGCTCACGGGGACAACCATGCAGGACACATCCTCCGTAGGGTGGGAGTTTCAATGGCCATGGGCCCCCCTCCACACCGGCAGGTGAGGGGCCAGGCCCAGCCTGCCATGAGGAGACCACCCTTGCTATCCGTCCCAGGACGGTCCCGAATCTGAGTCCCGCCTTCCTGAAGAGACTTAGACAAGCGTGCCAACGATACGCACTTGGCAGCACATCATCACCCTGTCGTCAAAAGGTGGGCCTCGCTGCCCCAAGCTCCTGGGAAGCTGGCATCAGGGACCCCGGGAGAAGGGTGGGTGAGCAGAGCCCACCTTCCCAGGGCTCTCAGGGTCGGGGGCGTCCCTGGGGAAAGCCCGCTGCCCAGGCTGAGATCACCTCCCGTTGCTCCCTCCCCCTCCAGAGCCCTGCTGCTAAGAGGTAAGGGAGCAGCTGAGGCGAAGCACGTGAGTGAGGCCCAGGGCAGGGGGTGAAGGGGGGACGAGGGGGGCACAGGCACAGGGCACGGGCAGCGAGAAGAAGGAAGCAGGATGGGTTGGCATGGAGCTAAGCGTGGGCCCAGGGTCCCAGACCCAGAGCTGTTTCTCAACCCACTTCTGGAAGCAAGCACATGCACACTCAAGCACACACAACTGGGCAGGGGCCTGGGGTGGAGACCGTGGAGAGAGGGGGACGGCACCCCCTCCTGTAACCGGAAGTATCCTTGCCTTGCAACAAGGGGAGGGTTTGCCCTCCTCAGACAGCCTGGCGTGCTGCTCAGCTGCCTGGGGCCCCTGGGAGGGAGGAGACCACACACCCGCAGAGTCCGCTGACTGGCTTCCTACCCCAGAATATGTGCAGTAGAGTTTTAAGGGTCTCCACACATGCATGCGAGGAACCCTGGTGGGTGGACGACCAGGGGCCACAGGGTCAGTCTGAGCCCGTCCCAGAGGGCCGCCGAGCCAGCGTCCACTCCACAACGGTGAGCGTGCGTCTGTCTGCTCCCGTAACAAGAGCCGTCTCAGAAACCCGCACGGGCAGGTCTGCCCTGGTCTGTAGGGTCGGCGCGGCAGCAGCTGATGGGAGCTTCAGTTCAAACACACCGTGTCCCCAAGAGGTGACATCAGGTGCAAGGAGTTCTGGAGGATGTAGTCTGGAGGGCGAGCACGAGGCCACAGGTGGCACCAGACTCAAAGGTCATGCCTGTGCCAGATGTCTGAGTCCCAGGGCTTCTCTGAGCTCTGGTCCCCGGCGGGAACCACTCATACCTGTTCCCGTCCAGGGCCCTGGCCCAGTCTCTCTGACACCTGGTGATGAGGTGTGTATTACACACCTTTACACTGTGGATCTGGGCAGTGGGGGGCAGGTAAACCAAATGCTGCCAGCCTCTGCTCCAGGGGCTCCAGAGAGCGTCCCCATTGCCTCCTCCTTCGGTGGTGGCGGCTGCCTTGCCACAGCACCTGCCTCCATCCTCACATGACCACCCGAGGGACACCTGTCCTTGGGATCAGGGACTCTACATTTCACCCAGAGAGCTTGACCTTCATCCCACTTGCAAAGATCCTACTTCCTAATAAAGTCTCAGTCACAAGTTACGGGGTTTCTGGCATGGGGATAGTTTGGGGGGGGACCTTCTCCAAGCCTGCTCCCCGTTCCTCAGGAACAGGGCGATCCCAGTGACAACTGCCCCCCTGAACCCCTTCCCTTCACTCCGCTGGCCCAACACGGCAGCCCCGTACTGCACCGTGGGACAGAGCAAGATAAGCAGCGTGTGGAACAGCCCAGAGCCTCCTCCCTCTCTTCCCGGCCTTTGTCCTCCCTCAAGGTTATCAGCAGGGTCAGCCGTGGGTCCAGTGCCCGCCCGCCCCCCCTGTTGTTTGTTGAAGAATGGGCGGTGTGGTCATGAGAGGCTACTGAATGGATTAAAGGAGACTGTCTGTTGCCAACCTGTGGTTATTTGTGGGTTGCAGGAGACGGTGCACTGGGCACGTATCCCAAGAAAATGGGTCCCTTTGTTCACACAGAGACGGCCACGCTGGTGTTCACAGCAGTGCATTCAGAACAGCCAGCCCTGGAAAGTAAATCGATACCGAACCACACAGAGTAAACGGGCACACAAAATAAATAGCCACTCACACTTTGCTACAAAGTGAGCACACAGGCAAATCCCACCGCCTTCCAGTCCGGGCTGCTCCAAGCACCCTGAGGACCAGAGCCCGGCGGGCTCTGAGACAAGCTCCTCGGAGGAGGAGGAGCAGCCTCACCCTTCTCCCTCAGAGCTGCTGGCGCATCTGCACCCTCGACCTTGTTGCCCTGACCGGGCCCTTCCTAGGCACCTGGTGAGGCTGGCAGAGAGGAAGGTGTCAAAAGCAGGGGGAGAAATGGCACATTGCACACATGAACACAACAATAGGGAGGCACTTCCAACCTTCCATCAGACACAGTAGGGGGCAGAGGACAATGGGACACCCCGCTAACACACCGCAAGGAAAACATCAGACGGGTGCAAATGTCCTTTAAGAATTCAGGCGAAACGGAAGTCAAGGTGGGTCACGTCTGCTCTCTGTCCAATCTCCCGGGGACAGAGTTAAAGGTAAAACCCTTGTGCTGGACAATGAGACCCAACAAGATGAGGCTCCTCATGGTTTTTCTACCCTCACCCCCCACTCCCTTTACCCCACTCCGCTCCACAGATGCCCGCCCCTGCCGCTGCTCACAGCTACTACAGTGCCCCCGCTCCACCTCTCAATTCCACCCAGAAAGCTTCCCCGTGCCCATCTACGTGCACAGCCTCTCCCTCCCTGTCCTTGTTACTGTGATGGCCAGGATTCGGGGTCAGCCTGGCTGGGCCAGGATTCTCAGCAGTTTGGCATCTGCACCCACAGCCAACCAGTTACCAAGTTGTAAACCTCCATAACAGGCTCAAGCCAGGGTGGGATGCGGGCCCTGACTCCGGTCGCACGCCTGGTCACATTGACTGATGTTTCCCTCTGGGGGGCAGCCTCCTTCCAACACAGGGCAACCTGGGAAAGCTTGCTCTGGGCCTGAGTCCCGCGTCTGACGCATTGACTCCGGTTCTGTGGCCGTGAGCCAGTGGCCAGGCTGCAGTGGTTATATGGTCCTGTCACTCCGGCCCATGGCGGTCCTGTCCACGCGTGACAGAAGCAAACACTGCCCGGTCACCAGTGCTCCGCGGATCAAGCCCACAGATGCGGCCACGGCGTCAGTCCACCTGGCTGAGGGTCTTCCTCTCGTCCTCCACCCCTCCGTGCCCCGAGCACCGTGTCCTTCTCCGGGGGCTGGTCCCTCCTGACAGCACGTCCAAAGTACGTGAGACGAGGTTCGCCTGACACCCTTGCCTCTCAGGAGCACTGTGGCCCCACTTCTTTCCATGCAGACCCGCATGTCTTGTTGGCAGGATGGGACATCCGATGCTCCGCCCACCACGGTCCTTCCTCTGTCTGTCACGATGTGGCCTGCCGGTCCAGTCGCGGGGGGTGCTGGTTTATTCAACAGTGTCACCCACACTGACGGCCGCAGCCTTTTTGGTTTGTTGTCTTCTGCTGTTGGTTTTGTTTTACGGGGGCTCTGACAGCTCTTATAACGATACATACATCCATTCTATCAGGCACTTTTATACGTATGTTGCTATCATCCTTTGCAAAACATTGTCTTTCAACTTGAGCCCTTGGTATCAGCTCCTCTTTTTCCCCTCCCCCCCCCTCACCCGACCACCCTCGTGCACCCTTGATAACTTATAAGTTATTTCTATTTCCGTGTCTTACACTGTCCATGCTCTATCCCTTCACTCATGTTTCTGTCTGTCTGTCACCCTGGGTGGCTGCAACCTTCGACCTTCATCAGCAAGGGCTTCCGGTCCTCCTCACTTTCAGCACGGAAGGCTGTGCCCCTGCACTCACCTGCACATCGCAGGTGGTTCATGAGCCCCCGCCCCTCGAGCTCGGATGCATGTTCTCCCACATGTAATACAGCTGCCTGGATGATTCGCTCCGCATCCAAATGGAGTAAGGGCGGTGAGAGGGTACACCCCTGACATATACCTTTCCTGGTGTCTCGTTCTACGGCCTCTTGGTCCAAGTGCAGGTTCCACACACGCACAGCGGCATGTTTCGGATCCCCGTTCTTCTTAGGGTTTTCCATGTGCGATTGTTAGGGTTACTGTGCCAACCTGGCCAATAGGAACTGTGGGATGAATCAGCTCGCAGTTTGATTGCAGGGCAAAGACAAAAACGGCTCTGCAA